TGGAGTGAACAAGAAAGAGTTTTGGCTTCCATGTTCCAAGAGATCTGCAAGCACTTGGATGTCAAGGAGTTGGAATTGGAAGCCATCCACCAAGACAGTGTGGAAGCACTTGGCAAAGCAGAGGGGGCTTGCCTCTTTCAATGCCCAGGTGGCTCTGCTGAGAAGGCTGCTGGCTGGAGGCACCAGAACTATGGCAGGCTTCTGTTCCACATTGGCTTGAGTGACAAGTTTACCAATAGGTTTGCCCTCAAGCGAGCCCTGGAGGACAGCCCTTGGGGCCCTGAGCCAGATGCAACAAGGCAGGGACAGGGGCCACATGAGTGCTGGCCTGTTAACCCCACCTTGCCACCAGGGGTTGCTCACATTGAAATTCCAAAGGCTGCCAGTGCAAAGGAGGTGGCTGCTATGGGCAGGCAGTTTGACAGTCACTTCAACTGGCATGAAATTGCTGCCTTCTTGGGGTTCCCTGAAGCAGCTGCAAAGTTGCAATCTGCTTGCACCAAAACCAAATGGAGGAGACAGATGGGCAAAAATACAGGTGGAGTGCACCAGTTCACCACAGCTTTAAAAACATCCAGAGGTGGTGTGGCAGGGCGTTTAGGGTTTAGGGTTTAGGGTTAAGGGTTTTAGGGTTTAGGGTGTGCAAAAGTAGTCGCGCGTGGGCGGGGGGCTGTCAATCTGCTGGCACGCCCCCCGCTCGAAGCGCGCTCGCTCTGCTTAGTTGTCCCACCCCGGCCACCCAGATTAAAAACTTTTAGGGTTTAGGGTTTCATTCTAAGTGAAACCCTTGAAGGTTCCAGCGGGTGTTTTCTACCCACAAGAACCAAGGAAACACGCAAGCACGTCGAAGCATCATAAGGATAGGTGAAAGGCATGGCAGGAGTGGCTTAGGACAGGCGACCTGCGTTACCCTTCTGATTGTTCTCAGTCAACCACCACGCCACATTCCACTGTTCAAGTTTCAATGATACTAATAAGACACGGACGTGGCTATGCGTTGGGCCAAACCTGGATGTGTCTAGTTGCAAACGTCTGTACCTAGTTATCTTGATACATGTTTGCAATGCACAGACATGTAAATGGCAACAACGTTATGTATGTATGGATGTACGTGTATATATACGTATGTATGTCCACGTATGTACATGTATATATGTTTTCATGTATGTACGTATGTATGTATGTATGTATTTATGTATGTACGTACATGTATGCACATGTATGCACATGTATGTATGTATGTATGTATGTACATGTATGCACATGTATGTATGTATGTATGTACGTATGTATGTCCATGTATGTGCATGTATGTATGTTTTTTATGTATGTATGTATGTATGTATGTATTTATGTATGTACGTACATGTATGCACATGTATGCATGTCCTTATGTATGTATGTATGTATGTATGTATGTATGTGCATGTATGTATGTGCATGTATGTAACTACATGTATGTATGTACATGTATGTATGTACATGTATGTGTGTATTTATGTATGTATGTATGTACATGTATGCACATGTATGTACATGTCTGTATGTATGTAGGTACATGTATGCACATGTATGTATGTATGTATGTGTGTTTTTATGTACGCACGTATGTATGTATGCATGTATGTATGTATGCATGCATGTATGCATGCATGCATGTATGCACTCATGCCTGTATATCTGTATGTATGTATGCATGTATGTACATGGGTGTATGTATGTATGTATGTATGTATGGACGGATGGATGGATGTATGTATGTATGGATGGACGTATATGTGTGTAAAGGGCTCCGCGCAAAGGGGTCCAAAACGGAGCCCCGAAGAGGAAACAAAGAGGAAAAATGAGGCAAAACCAGGTGCCAGCAGAGATGCCGGGCCACAGGGGGGGATTGAGCCCGGGACCCTGCAAAAAAGCAGCGCCAAAGGGCTACGGGCAAAGGGGTCCAAAACGGAGCCCCGAAGAGGAAACGAAGAGGAAAAATGAAGGAAAACCAGGTGCCAGCAGAGATGCGGACCAGGGGTTCCCCGCAATTCTGCTGGCCCCCGCCGGGGGGTGCCAGCAGAGAAGCGTTCAGGCGCCAGCGGAGAAACCAACCCTGCTGGCACCCGATTTGGGTGCCAGCGGGGTTGCGGTGACACGCCCGGATTCGGAAGCAAAGGCCTGGAATTTTCGCGCTTTGCGCCGGTTTGGTTTTGATGGCGCCGCGCTTGTCTTTTGTTGCCCGGCCGTTTTGCCCCAGTTCGCTGCCGGCAGCTGTTCGGCCAAAACGCCGGGATCTCGAGGCAGCAGCCTTGGATTTGCCGACTTCGCGCCGGATTGGTTTTGATGGCGCCGCGCTTGCGTTTTGTTAACCGGCCGATTTTCCGACAGACCGCCCGGGCACCGTTTTTGAAGCAAAAACCGTCGGAAAACGGAAAATTCACTAAGTACATTTTCGCTTTGTCCCGGTTTCCGGGGGTATAGTAGAGGAACGTTTTCAGAAAGTATGAACATAATATTGTTTCAGAATCTTCCTTTGCGCTTTTGGCGTTTTCGGGGTTTGTGGCCGTAACCTGGTGCAACAAAATTTTGGCACATTGCGTTTGGCAATTGTTCGTTTGTTACCCCCTGTTAAGGAAACAACCGTGTTTGGAATGCCCCGGCCACAACCGAAAACGTCAAGCCAAGGTAGATTCTGAAAAGATAGGACTTGATGACGTGAGGACAGATGCGACAAACGGTAAACCTGGATGTGTCTAGTTGCAAACGTCTTTGCCGAGGTATCTTGATACATGTATGTCAGGTATATACATGTGAATGCCAGCAACGTCACCTATGTATGAATGTGTGTATGTCTATCGTATGTTTGTACATGTATGTACATGTATGCACATGAATGTAAGCATGTATGTATGTATGTATGTCTGTACGTACGTACTAATGTATGTATGTATGTATGTATGTGTGTATGTACGTATGTTTGTATGTATGCATGTATGTATGTATGTATTTATGTATGTACGTACATGTATGCACATGTATGCACATGTATGTATGTATGTATGTATGTATGCACATATGCACATGTATGTATGAATGTATGCATGTATATATATATATATGTATGTGTGTGTGTCTGTATGTATGTATGTGTGTATGTATGTATGTGTGCCTGTATGTATGTATGTGTGTATGTATGTATGTATGTATGTATGTATGTATGTATGTATGTATGTATGTATGTATGTATGTATATGTATGTATGCGTGCATGTATGTATGTATGTATGTATTTATGTATGTATGTACGCATGCAGACTCACAGCTCCAGCTTGCATGCAAGCGCACAAACACGGGCAGCCAAGGAACAAAGATGGTTTTTGGACGGACCCGGGGGCACGGCCACGGGCACGGCCAAAATACGCATTGTGGCCGTGACCCCCCGGAACGGCCCGGCCCAAAGTGGGTCACGGCCACAATGCGGATGCAGCCTCGGGCCCTTTCCCGGTTTGTCCGGGTTTCCCCGTTTGAATTTTCCTAGGGATTTGCTTCTAAAACGCAACGGACGGATTTCGGATTTTTACCTTCGGCGCCGTTTCGGCGACGCAGCGCCGGAAGCCAAAACGCGCCAAACACGGATTTTGCGATTTCAGCGTTTTTCCGTTTTGAAAATGTATTGTTTTACAAGGGGTTTGGTACTGAAACGAAAACGGCGAAAACACCGATCGTCGCATCCCAGTCGTTTTTGGCAAAATCAGCTTTTTTCGCCTATCTATTTTGCTTTTTCTTCTCCAAGTTTTGGGAACCTATAGTTAGACGTTCAATTCAATACTATATACAATGTTAAACGGTTGATTTTGTACTTAGTGATTTTTCCCGCTTTTGGTTCCCAAAATTGGTTCCCAAAGTTGGATTCCATGAAATTTTCGATGTTGGATTTTCAATGCTCTGTGAGAGTTAGGAAACAACACAAACTAAAAAGACAAGGACGTGACTATGTGTCGAGCCAAACCTGGATGTGTCTATTTGCAAACGGCTGTACCTAGGTATCTAGATACATGTATGTAATGCATATATAAAAGGGAATGCCACCGACGTTGTGTATGTCTGTATGTATGTATGTATGTATTTATGTATGTACGTACATATATGCACATGTATGCACATGTATGTATGTATGTATGTATGTATGCATGTATGCATGTATGTACATGTATGCACACGTATGTAAGCATGCATGTATGTATGTATGTATGCATGCATGTATGGATGTCTGTATGTACGTATGTATGTTTATGGATGTACATGTATGTACCTGCCTGTGTGAAAGCATTAGGCTACAGGCAGCATGAGTCTATATGCCCTGACTGTCTGAGGTAATGCAATCGCTGCTGAAGCAGCTCCAGCCGGGGATGTGGCCAGCAGCTGCAGCTTTCCGACTGCGCCGGCGGGAGACAGAGCCTCATGGTGATAGCAATACGCGTACAGTCTTTTGCGATGCCATTCTGTACAGAGGCATCAAAGTAGCACAGCGTTTTGAGCAGCAAGACGGAAACTAAGCAATATACGATGTGCATGAAAATGTTGTTGATCAAATATTGTAAACGAAATGATACACAGGTCTTCGGCACGACAGATACTTGCTGCTGTAGATAGAACGGCCCTGCAGGAATTGTTCAACTTTATACACCACAGGGTCTTTCAGAGCACTGAGGTACCAAAAGCGTGGTGACAAAAAAGATGCCACAGCGGCGCGGAACTGACCCACCAGCATCTCTTTGGCATGGCATGGGGCTAAGCCAAGAACCCCGCAGCGTCAGAATAGTTCTGCTGTTGTCGGTGTCTTCGATGGCAGGGGGCTAAGCCAAGGACCCTGCAGGTTTGAAAGGTTGAATGCAAGGGCAAGTGCAACAGACAGGTGTAGACCCACATGTTTTCTGGAACTTCCTTGCTCTCAGAGCTAGCCCTCGCAACCCGACGTCCTGTGCCAGCGTCTCTTCGCATTGCCCCGTAGTAGCCATGGGTCGCAAAGCTGCCGACAAGAAGACCCGCGGCGGCGGAAGCAAGCCTGCCCCGAAGGACGACAAGAAGAAAAGCAACAAAGGGTCCTTCGTGCCGAAGTACGCCTACTTTGGGAAAGAGCGACTGGCGGCCTATCCCAACGAGGACGGCGTCTGTGTCTACGTGGGCAAGGGCCAAGATGAAAAGGCCTTCTTCACCCTTGAGAACATCTGCGCGTGCCGGTCCAGCAAGAACGAAGAGCTATGCCACCGCATCGGCATGGGGCTCGCTTTGGATGCAGCCAGCCTCCACAATGGAACCAAGGTGCTCCACAAACACTTTGGGGAGGCAATCCCAGAAGATCTCCAGCAGCAGTTCCACAAGACCGGGCTGCCCAAGATCTTGGAGGCATTGGCATCAGATGCCGGCCAACGCTTCGTCCAGAGCATTGAAGTGCTGGATGTGGGCAAAACCGGCCAGCCGCGAGAGAAGGCCATCAAGAAGGCAATCAAAGGCTTCGTCGAGTTCCTCCAAGACGACGACGGAACCTTGCGCCGCAACTTGGCGCGCCTTGCTTCCGATGCAGCGGCCTTGTACCTCTTTGCCATGACCCTGCTGAAGGACATGGCTCTGGTGTCCAGCCCGAAGGAATGGGCGGCGAAGGTCGAAGGCAAGCAGTCCGATGAAGTGAAAGCGTGGCTCCGCAAGCCCAAGGACGACGCCAAGCTCTTGGCCGCCCTGGTGCACGAGCTGCTGGCCAAAGTGGAGAAGAATGAGCCAGCAGCTGGAAAGAAGCGGAAGGCATCAGACACCTCCTCCATGGCGAAAGGGAGTTCAGAGGCTGCCGACACCGGCTCCGGGTCGGGGGATGGAAGTGGGGCCTCCAAGGCAGCATCCGAGGAGTCCAGCAGCCCGGCGCCTGCTGCGGTACGCAACTCCTCCAGCAAGTCGTCGAGAAGTAGCTCGCCCCAGCCGCCCAAGAAGAAGAAGACGAAAACGAGCGACAAGAAGGATAAGAAGGATGCCAAGAAAGATCCCACGAAGGATGCCAAGAAGGATGCCAAGAAGGAGACGAACGAAAAAAAGGACAAGACGGAGGAGAAGAACAAGAAGGACGAGAAGGAGGACGCCAAGGACAAAAAGGACAAGGAGACCGAGAAGCCGGGCAGGAACGAGAAAGACAAAAAAGCCAAGAAGGAGAAGGAGCTGAAAGCGGAGAAGGACCGCAAGAAGAAAGAGGAGCAGCGCGCAGCGGAGGCAGCCACAGCAGCGGCAGAGGCAGAGGAGGAAGCCCGCACAGCAGCTTTCACCGCCTGGTCCGCCTCGTCGGTGCAGGAAGCAGCAGAACAGCTGGAGGAAGCGAAGGCAAGCATTGGCTTGCTGTCAGGCCGCTTCAAGAAGGAGACCATGGTCAACCTGACCAGCCTGGTGCCGACTGCGGTGCTGACCCAATTTCCTGAGGTGTGCGTTGCAACTGCAGAGCTGGCCGAAGTTGGCGGTGAATGGGTTTCCAACAAGGAAGCAAAGCCCGCCATCGTCATGCTGACGGAGGTGGCCAACACCGTGGCAGCCTTCTGGGCAGAGCACGCCGAAGCCCCAGCGGCCTCCAGTAAGCCAGGTGAAAGAGTTGAGGTTGCAGAAGAGAACGAGTCTGAGGAGGCGAAGGAAGAAGAAAAGGAAGCGTCTGAGTGAGTCGGCGTTTGTGAGTATCGTTGGGTTGGGCCTTCACGTACAGGGAGGCACCGAAGTGTGGGCGTCGCAATCTGAGCCTACAGCGCGCCAAGTCTGCGAAGTGACCCTTTGATATGAGATTGTGTTTTGTAGAGACGGCCTGACGTGTACAGCACGGCCCCTGAAAGCACATAGCCACAAAGTACAGTGATTAGTGTGTCCTCCCGGTTTGCTATTTGATGTTAGATGTTCAAGACGCATGTAATATCTGTTGAGCTGGATCCGTAAGCCGGGTAGTGGAAACACTGGGAGCAACAGCTTGGTAAGAGTTGTCCACCTTTACACACTGCCAAGCAGTTGCAAAGCGAACTGGCACGGCGACACCGCGCGCGAACAAGGAGCAACGCCGCCAACCACACGAAACCACGTGGCGCTTGCAAGTGTTGTCCTGTTTTGCATGGCATTGCTTGCAAACATATGTACTCTTGACGTTAAAGTGAGGAGGCAGCATGAGTAGTCGTAGTACATGTGGTTGTCTTGCGCCGAGTGCAGTGCTGAATGATCTTCTGAATGTCCTTCCTTGTCCGCAGCCGTTTCCGACCAGTGTCCAGACGACAGCAATTCGATACTCGACCGGTACTGCTCCCAGCAATGGCCCCTAAGGCAAGCGGCGGCGCCGGGAACAAATCAGCGCAAGACTACGTGACCGGCCTGTGGCTTCGTGGTGCAACCGAGGCAGAAGTCCGTCAACAGCTCAAGGACGACGGCTACAAAGCAGGGCGCATCTCACAGCTCATCAAGGCGACGCGGCCCGCAGATGGACAGGCGGGCGGCGCCGTCGTTGCAGTGCCGAAGGTGATGGCAAGGCCAGCTGCCGCCGACCACGTTGTTGCTGCTGCGAAGAAGCCGGCAGCCTCGAGCAGCGCTGCAGCTCCAGAGGCGGGGAAGCACGGTGTAGCGAAAGGTTGGGTGTGTAGCATGTTTGCCAGTTGCATATTTATTGGTATAATGTTTTGCACGAGTGCGCCAGGCCGATGAGACCGAAGAGGAGAGAAGACGGCGACAGCACAGACGACGCCGAGTCCAACCAGAGCGATGAGGACCTCAACGTGCACAACTTCATCGCTGAGTTGGAGGCCGCATGGGAGGCGGACGGCAGGAACCACGCAGAGCTGGACCACATGGACGGCATGGAAGCGCAATCCGCCCCGCCAGATGGCGAGGAATGCGCTGATGTGGAGGAGCCGGAGGAGAACTTGCAGATTCCTGATGGTGAGGAGGACAGCAGCGATGAAGAAGCAGAAGGACCACAAGACACGCCAGTGGCATCGGAGGCCGAGGGGCCCCAAGTTGCAGCGCTCAAGCGGCAAAGGCGTTACCCGCCACCGCCAGGGCCGGGCGCCATGCGGCTCATTGGCAAGCAGCCGCCGCCGGCTGCGTACCTTCAAGCCGGCTTGCCACCGGTGGACCTCCGTGTGCTCAAGAGGCCTGCCATGCTGAAGCGGCCTGCTGCCGCCAGGAGCCCGCGCCCAAGCGAGCAATGCGAAGGTTATCAAGGCACGGCCTGCCAATTCAACCCCTTGCATCCCGGAGAAGCAGCACGCGTGCAACCAAGCAGAGGCATCCGACAGTGTATATTCTGCGCGGGCGAGCGCTTGCAGGAAGCACATGCAGCACGGAGGCGGGGAAACCCAATCATAAAGATGTTGTGTTCTCTGTGCGTTATTTAAAACAGAGGGAGCAGCAGAAACATGCGACGAGTGCCGTTCAGTAACATGTAACATTATGTCCTGCTGTAGCTTTTACATTCAACCCTGTTGTACCCCCATTGCAGCGCTCAGGGCAAATCGGATCACAACGGCCTTGCGCAAGTTCCAGACCGCAGACCGCGGTGTCTTCGACGCGGCCCTGGAGCGCGTGCAGCAGTTTCTGGGGGAAGCGGTGGCAAAGGAGTACCGCAAGAAGGCTGAGCCCAAGGAAGCATGGGAGCGGCCCCTGCAACACAGGCAGTTCGTGGGTAGGGAACTCAAGGAGAAGGAGAAGGTGGAGTACGACGCCCTGGTGCGCAGAGACCAACGGGTGCCACGAAGAAAGTTCTTCTTCCCGGAGAAGCTGCTTGCCCGGGCAGGTGAGGAGGCGGAGGCTGCGGAGAAGGCGGCTGTGCAAGAAGCCTGCGGTGAGGTCGGGCACGTGGCCCCCAACGACACGGACCTGCCCCGCCCATCCGACGACAAGGGGAAGATGATCGAGAATTGGTGCAAGCACGGCTCCTGGGGCATGTGCGTGAAGTGCCATAGCATGTGCCCGAGAAGATTAGAACCGATGGATTTGAAGAGGGTCAAGCCGGCAACCATACCAGCACGCCAGTGCATCGCCTGCAAAAATGGTGACTACGTGCCTCAACCTGAACATGTACCAGTTCCCCTTCGAAACTTGAAGCCGCGGGTGCTGGAAGCCTTGCGGCCCTTGGAGATTGACATCGGCACCGTGGAGAGAGTCCCCAACGGATACAGGGTGCACAATGCCATGATAGCCTTTGCTTGGAAGAAACGAGATGTGGAAACAGAGATAGCAGCTTTGCGGAAGAGGGGCGACCGAAGGGCAGCACGGGAAGCCTTCGAATTTCTCCTGGGCAGCGAGGACAGTGCCTACAAGAAGATCCTCGAGGAGCACCAGGAGTTCCTGAACAAGTTCGGCAGCCGCGCACCGCTGAAGAAGCGCAAGCGGCCCCTGCGGTTCATCGAAACGGAAGGCCTGGAGTGCTGCCTGTGGCCACATCTCTATTGGCACCGCAACCTCTGTGAGACGGTTGCGCGGGCTTCCCATGAGAGCCGCACAGGTGCAAGACCGCCGCCGAGACGAGCAGCAGACACCAGCAGCGGCGAGGAAGAGCCTCCGGCAACAGAGGGGGCAGAAGAAGAGCAAGACATGGAAGAGGCTGAAGACGATGGGGAGTTCGATCCCCAGGACGCAGGAGGAGCAGACCCGAACATCGTGGCAGCAGAACAGGGCCGCATCAGGAAATGCTTCCTTCGCAAAGTTCTTTCGCCGGTCATTGGCTACGGCGCGGACTACGACTTGCTTCACTTCGTGTTCGACCTCTCTATGTGGACCACTATAGGAACAAAGAAGAACCTAGCGGCTCGCACTGGCGTGGCGCTCCGCCACCTCCTCAAAGGATCTCCTTGGACCCCGCAATACTGGCGGGTGCAACACCAGGCCGTGCTGGACATGCAGAGGCAATGTGGCAATGCGTCGCTCTTCCGCACCAGGGCACCATACGAGCGATCTTTCCCTTACCACGAGTGGGTCATGCACGAGCAGGCAACGCTGGGGCGCCCTCGCCAGCACCTCGCTGGCGCAGAGACTTTGCACATGGCCCACGTCTTGCTGCAGTTGGACAAGGGCTACATCTGTGGCGACATGTACAACAACGATCGGGCAGGCAGGAATTGGAAGGGGCACCTGCTCGGCCCGGAGGACGAGGAAAGCGACCTCAAGACCGTGATGGCACATGTAACCCGCTTGGAGTTCCAAGACGGGAAGAGGAAACCCGCCAGCCAGCGATACCATGGCAAAGGCACGGTCCACAGCCACTCGTTGGACTTCTTGGAGAATGTGGAAGCAATTGGGTTGGAGATGAAGATCCAGGCGACCATTCCCTCCAAAGAGACAGAGCCCTTCTTGCATGGACTTGTGATGGACGGTCAGCAAGATTACAAGGATTCCAAGTTGCCCGTTCGCACAGAAGCCTCCGCGTGGGATCCCGCTGCCGGGGCTGTCGCGCTGCACCACACCGAGGAGGACAAGGCGGCCCACATACGAGCATACCTGAAGCCAACCATGGAGATCACAAAGTGCCACGAAGATGGACAAGGCGGCCCACATACGAGCATACCTGAAGCCAACCATGGAGATCACAAAGTGCCACGAAGATGTTCAACAGGGCGGGGGAACTGACAGCCGAAACGGCGCCCATTTGCACTATGTGGCAACCTACAACATGAAGTTCAGCAGCAGCATGGACTCTGAATGGTTAAATGGAGAAGGGTCGGATTACAGCACTGCCGTTGGCGTCCTTCGCCGCGTTCGAATGCTGGAGCCGGAAATGTGGATGACGCTGTCCGGGGACCTCTTTCCCCAAGCACAGCTGAGTGGCTCCATGCGAGACATCATGGCCCCCAACTTCGACAATATGGAGAAAAAGCCCAAGTATGTGGAGGTCTACGAGCAATCGGAGTGGCGCAGGGACGACATGACCCTGTTGGAATTCTTGCGCAAGTCCAATAACGAAGGGAAGATCATCAAATACATCGTGGAGAAGCACAAGATCCAGCTCATGGAAGAGGTGCGACAGCAGCGCGGAGAAGACGAGGGGGCTTTCGCAAAGCTCCGCAAGGAGATGTTGAGCGCTTGGTACCAGGACAAGAAGGCTTGCAAGGAGAACGAGGAAGAGCCGGCAGCCTTCGCGGATTTCCTGGCAGATGAGTATGGCTACAATGACCTCACCCCGTTGGAGGCCTTTGCGAACAGTTACAAGACGCGCGGGGAGAAGCTCATTGCCGCCGGCACAAATTCGATGCTGAACGACCGGTACTACGCCCAATGGTTAGCATTGAATAGGCCCTTTCGGAAGCTGGAGGATTTCCAGGACAAGGCCCCAGAGGCGATGGAGAAGGTGAATGAAAAGTATCGAAACTTCGTGCTCTGCCTGCATCATGCTCCTGACTTCTGGAACAACGACGATGTCATTCGATCCGCAATGGAGTTGGAAGCCCACAACAAGGCCTTCGTCGAGACCATCTTGAACAAGGTCCGAGCGCAGCGCCACATCGTCAAGCGCTACCTGGAAGGAGATATTCCCGTGGACGCCGAGGTGACCAGTTCAGCCGACTCCGCCGCGAGCGCCATCCGCGAGCACGGGCGCGTAGAGAAGCACAAATTGACCCGGTCCCAGAAGCGGCTGAAGGAGAAGATGTCCCAGCAGATGGAAACTGCCCTTGCTGCCTGCCAAGCGCAAACAGACGAGGAGTTGGAGAGTTGCATTGCCAAGGCAGCGGAGCACAAGATCCTTTTCGCCAGCGGCCCGCCGGGCACCGGGAAGACGCACGTCATCCATGAGCAAGTGCGTAAATGGAAGCGCCAAGGGGCACGAATTCTGTTCGCTCTACCCACCGGGCAACTGGCTTCAGAAGTACGCAGCGTACATCCAGACGTGGACGTCGACACATCCCACGGAGCCTTCCTACTGCACAAACCACTCCAGGAGGCAATGGCAATCCTCACTCAGTACGAGCTGGTGGTTATCGATGAGGTCGGACGAAAAGCCGTATTTGAAAATATGTGTGTAGATTTTTTCGTATATACATATATATATATATAGATATGTACATGCAGCAGTTTCCTGTGAGGGTATAGTGTAGAGGATGCGGCCCCAAAAATACAGCAGGTCTTCGAGGTTTACTTTTGAAACGGCCCGCAGGTTCCATTGTTGTTGTGGTTTTGTTGCTGCCTCAGGTGTCCATGCTGACAGCAGCCCACTTTGAACGCATTCTAGCAATGTGGAAGTACGCAGATCAACTTGCGTGCCTTGTTCTCCTTGGTGATTTTTGGCAGCTGCCAGTGGTTGACAAGGCAGCGGTCCGTTGTGAGGAAAGCCAGGCATGGCAGCCCCACGTGCAAACAATCCGCTTTCACGAACAGGTGCGGTGCAAGTGCCACAAGCTGCAACAGAAGCTGAACATCCTGCGGACGGAGCAACCGAGCATGAAGCATCTCAAGAAGAAAATCCTCAGGGACCATCGGGCCTGGAAGACAAATGACCCCACGGCCTACGACATCCTGGATCTGTTCCGCAGCCACGAGAACACCACGATTGTCACCTGCAGCCGGCCGGCCTGTGCCAAAGCCAATGCCTTGGCCTTGGAAGCATTCTTCGAACACAGGCACAAGAGGCCCATCGGAAACCTCCTCTTCGACTATGAAGCCAACTTAGACAACTACGACCCGGCAACCAACCAGTTGAAGAGTGGCCGTCTTGCAGGGGCTGCCACGGATGTCTACGAAGGCATGCGCGTCTTCCTCACCAAGAACATGGACAAACAACACGATTTCGTGAACGGAATGAGCGCCACCGTGGAAGCCTTTGATGACAGAAGCAAATGTCTGGAGGTGCTGACGCGCACGGGCCAGAGATTGGCAGTCCACATGGTCAGCCAGGAGCTCGATGGTGGCAGGCACGTCACCTGCTTCCCGGTGCGCTTGGGCTACGCGTGCACCATCCCAAAGATTCAGGGCATGACGCTCCCCCATGTGACCATTTGGCTGGATTCCATAGCCTGCAGGGCTGCGGCATATGTGGCCATGTCCCGCGTGCAGAGGGACGAAGAGTACCTCATCGCCGGTGGCCCGCTTACGCCGAAGCACTTTGTGCCTGCGCAGTGACTCTTCATCTTGGACAGAGCACCTCGTCAGCATGTGGGGCCCGCCGGCCGAGGGGCAAGGTCAGAAAGTAAAGCTGCTGGCTAGGGATGTTGGTACCATCGGCCAATCGGCCATTCGAACATTGTAACCACCTTCGGGGTGCAAGATCGTTTGGGTGAAACCGACAAGAATAAGAAACGCCAGGTCTCGACGTACAAAAAAGCTAAGATTGGATTGTTTCGGGGTTCCAGTAGGGCTGGAAAGCCGTGCTCCCGTCCCCATCACCAGGGGTGCCGAAAATGAACACTTGAAGGGGGCGCAGCTTGTTTTAGTAGCTGCTTTTTTGGCACTGTAGGGCGGCACAGCCTGGTTTAGGAGGTGCTTTTCTGACATTTGAGGGCGGCACGGCCTGTTTTAGGAGCTGTGTTTTGACACTTTAAGGCGGAAAAGCATCTTTTAGGAGCTGCTTTTTTGACACTTTAGCGAGGCACGGCCTGTTTTGGGAGCTGCCGTCTTGGCAGCACAGCCTGTTTTGGGAGCTGCTTTTTTTGGCCCTTTAGGGCGGCACAGCCTGTTTTAGAAGCTGCTGGTTTTGACACTCTAGGGCGGCACAGCCTGTTTTAGGAGCTGCTTTTCTGTCACTTTGGGGCGGCACAGCGTGCACAGCCCTTCTGGGACCCTTGGGAACCGGCCCTTCTGGTTCAAATCCTGGCCGGGAGCCTTTTGGAAACAAATTTCGGCAATTTGAGGGCCCTTCGGCCGGCAATTAAAATTCCCTTCTGGGACCCTTGTGAAACGGCCCGTTTGGGCCAAATCCTGGCCGGGAGCCTTTTTGGAAGCAAATTTCGGCAATTTGAAGGGCCCTTGGGCCGGCAATTAAAATTCCCTTCTGAGACCCTTGTGAAACGGCCCTTTTAGGCCAAATCCTATCCGGGAGCCTTTTGGAAACAAATTTCGGCAATTTGAGGGCCCTTGGAAGCAAATTTCGACAATTTGAGGGCCCTTGGGCCGGCAACTAAAATTCCTTTCTGGGACCCCTGGGAAACGGCCCTTTTGGGCCAAAATGCCTTGGTTGACAAGGTAAAGGAAGCAAAAAGGACAACTTTTTGAAGATCAAAGAAAGGCTAAAACGCATGGTTTTAGAGCCTGGAAGGGTTGAGAAAGGCTTTGGGAGCTCCAAAAGGCACTTTTAAGGCATCTGCCAAGAGCGCCCTCCGTAACCCCAAAAGGTTCAGGCTATAGGGTTATACTTTACAGGCTACGCCAGAGGTAGTAAGCCGTCCAGGCTTGGGCATGCTTGCGTTGCAGTTGTCCTGCTAGGCTTGACCCTAGCAGGCCCTTAGGTTCGTACTGGCGTCGAGGCAGAGCCTCGAGCCTGAAGGCTCGAGCGCCCATGTATATGGTCAGCGGCGCTCTCGCCTGTTTAGGGTTTAGGGTTTAGGGTTTAGGGGGCGGCCAAGTCAAAGCTCGGAATCTAACTGAATTCAGTTTCTTTCTTTTGTTAGGCGACGCCCTAAGCCCAAATGATTTAGAGGTTTCCAGATCGAAGGTTAGCTGGAACCCTCCAGATAAAAAGCCCCAATCTTCTAGATCTCCCCAGAACTTTCCAGAACGCTCCAGAGGGAGCGCGCCCTACGCCGCAAAACCGATCTAGATCGAACCCCCATGATCTGGAACGCTCCAGAGAAAACTACCCAGGCGATCTAGAGCGAACCCCCATGATCTGGAACGCTCCAAGAGGGAGTGCGCCCTACGCCGCAAAACCGATCTAGATCGAACCCCCATGATCTGGAACGCTCCAGAGAAAACTACCCAGGCGATCTAGAGCGAACCCCCATGATCTGGAACGCTCCAAGAGGGAGTGCGCCCTACGCCGCAAAACCGATCTATATCGAACCCCCATGATCTGGAACGCTCCAGATAAAAGTACCCATTTGATCTAGAGCGAACCCGGATTTTAGGGTGAAAGGATTTAAGGGTTACTGGGTTAGGGTTACTGGATTTAGGGTTGGGGGCTCTTAGGGCCAAAGGATTTCAGGGTTAAAGGATTTTAGGGTTAAAGAATTGCAAGATTAAAGGATTTTAGGGTTAAGGGAGCGTAGGGTTAAAGGATTTTAGGGTGAAAGGATGTTAGTGTTAAAGGATTTGGGGTTTAGGTATTTTAGGATTAAGTGATTTTAGGGTTACAGGATTCTAGGGTGAAAGGATTTAGGGGTTAGGGGATTTTAGGGTTAAAGGATGTTGGTGTTAGAGGAGTCTAGAGTTAAAGGGTGTTTTAGGGTTAAAGGTATTTAGGGTTACAGGATGTTTGTGTTAAAGGAGTCTAGCGTTAAAAAAGAAGAGGGTTACAGGATGTTTAGGGGTAAAGGGTTTTAGGGTTAAAGGATGTTAGCGTTAAAGGATGAAAGTGTTAAAGGAGAGGAGGGTTGAAGGATTTAGGGTTAAGGGATTTTAGGGTTACAGGAAGTTAGTGTTAAAGGAGTTTAGGGTCAGAGGAATTTAGGGTTAAAGGAATTTAGGGTTCAAGGATTTTAGGGTTACAGGATGTTTAAGGTTAAGGGATTTTAGGGTTAAAGCATTTTAGGGTTAAAGGGTTTTAGGGTTAAAAGATTTAGGGTTAAGAGATTTTAGGGTTAAAGGATTTTGGGTTGAGGTATTTTAGTGTTTAAGGATTTTAGGGTTTGGATTTTAGGGTGAAAGGAATTAGGGTTACGGGATTTTAGGGTTAAAGGGTTTTAGCGCTAAAGGATTTAGGGTTAACGGGTTTTAGGGTAAAAGGATTTTAAGGTTAAAGGGTTTAGGGTTAAGGGATTTTAGGGTTAAAGGATTTTAGGGTTAAGGGATTTTGGGGTTACAGGAAGTTAGTGTTAAAGGAGTTTAGGGTCAGAGGAATTTAGGGTTAAAGGAATTTAGGGTTCAAGGATTTTAGGGTTACAGGATGTTTAGGGTTAAGGGATTTTAGGCTTAAAGCATTTTGGGGTTAAAGGGTTTTAGGGTTGAAAGATTTAGGGTTAAGAGATTTTAGGGTTAAAGGATTTTGGGTTGAGGTATATTAGTGTTAAAGGATTTTAGGGTTTGGATTTTAGGGTGAAAGGAATTAGGGTTACGGGATTTTAGGGTTAAAGGGTTTTAGCGCTAAAGATTTAGGGTTAACAGGTTTTAGGGTAAAAGGATTTTAAGGTTAAAGGGTTTAGGGTTAAGGGATTTTAGGGTTAAAGGATTTTAGGGTTAAGGGATTTTAGGGTTAAAGGGTTTAGTGTTAAGGGATTTTAGGGTTAAAGGATTTTAGGGTTAGGGGATTTTAGGGTTAATTAAAGGGTTTAGGGTTAAGGGATTTGACGGTTAAGGGATTTTAGGATTAAAGGATTTTAGGATTAAAGGGTTTAGGGTTAAGGCATTTGACGGTTAAGGGATTTTAGGATTAAAGGATTTTAGGATTAAAGGGTTTAGGGTTAAGGCATTTTGGAGTTAAAGGATGGTGCGAAAAATGGCGGGTTATAGCACCTTATTGGTAGCAATATCGATGAGAGGAAGAAGAAGAATAACAACAAAAGCAGGAAGATAAACAAAAACAAAGAAAGCACCAAGAAGTAACACGCTTATAAAAAACCTGTGTTGGCGCACAAGTGCCGCCAGGCCTAAAAGTTTAGGGTTCGCTAACTCAGGTTGGCGCCCAAGTCAAAGCTCGGAATCTAACTGAATTCAATTTCTTTCTTTTGTTAGGCGACGCCCTAAGCCCAAATGATTTAGAGATTTCCAGAGCTCTCCAGATCAACTCCAAATTAGCTGGGACCCTCCAGATAAAAAGGCCAAATTAGCTGGAACTCTCCGGATAAAGAGCCCAAAAATCCCAGACCTTCCCAGATCATCAGAAAGCATGCTATCTGGAAACCTCTAAATCAAGCATTTTGATCTGGAGATCTCTAAATCAAGAGAGAGGTTGCTCTGGAAACCTCCAAGTCGAGGCCTGTTCCAGCTAGAGCATGATCCAGATCAAACGCCTTCAGATCTGGATCACCGTCCCCCCAGGTTGATCTGGATAAAGGCCATGATCCAGATAAAGCCCATGATCCAGATCGAGGATTGATCTGGATCGAGCCCTCCTATCCAGATCGAGGGCCGATCCAGATAAAAGGCCATGATCCAGATAAAAGCCCATGATCCAGATCGAGGATTGATCTGGATCGAGCCCTCCTATCCAGATCGAGGGCCGATCCAGATAAAAGGCCATGATCCAGATAATAAAGCCCATGATCCAGATCGAGGACTGATCTGGATCGAGCCCTCCTATCCAGATCGAGGGCCGATCCAGATAAAAGGCCATGATCCAGATAAAGCCCCTCCTATCCAGATCGAGGGCCGATCCAGATAAAAGGCCATGATCCAGATAAAGTCCATGATCGAGATCGAGGACTGATCTGGATCGAGCCCTCCTATCCAGATCGAGGGCCGATCCAGATAAAAGGCCATGATCCAGATAAAGCCCATGATCCAGATCGAGGACTGATCTGGATCGAGCCCTCCTATCCAGATCAAGGGCCGATCCAGATAAAAGGCCATGATCCAGATAAAGTCCATGATCCGGATCGAGGACTGATCTGGATCGAGCCCTCCTATCCAGATCGAGGGCCGACCAGAATAAAAGGCTATGATCCAGATAAAGCCCACCCCTAATGATCGCAGATCGAGGACTTATCGGGAGCGAGCCCTCCTATCCAGAATCGAGGCCGTCCAGATAAAGGCCAAATGATCCAGATAAAGCCCATGATCCAGATCGAGGACTGATCTGGATCGAGCCCTCCTATCCAGATCGAGGGCCGATCCAGATAAAAGGCCATGATCCAGATAAAGCCCATGATCCAGATCGAGGACTGATCTGGAGCGAGCCCTCCTATCCAGATCGAGGGCCGATCCAGATAAAAGGCCATGATGCAGATAATAAAGCCCATGATCCAGATCGAGGACTGATCTGGATCGACCCCTCCTATCCAGATCGAGGGCCGATCCAGATAAAAGGCTAT